TGACTGTGGAACTTATGTGTATTGCAAAATTGAATTGAGAAAGAATAAACTAGTTTTATTTAAGTAAAGACTTGTATTGCTAAAGTTTCTCGGAAAGAATTTCTATGAAAAATTAACAAACGAACACAGACGTAACAATATCAAACTCGTAACGCCCCCCAGTGACACAGCGGTATGTCTGTGGAATTACAATGCTAAAAACCGGGTTTCGATACCCGCGGCGGGCAGAGCACAGATAGCCTTTGTGTAGCTTTGTGCATAATTAAAAAAACAAACAAATTTGTAAAATTAAAATAATTCCTTATAGCTCATAGTTATTAATTTGTAGTACTTTGTTTGTTGTTTCTTTTTATGGGGGGAGGGTACAAGAATTATTTTTTCGATAAAATTGTCCTAACAGGGTGTAAATAATAAATACTCCACAATCTTAAACAATGCTGGTGTTATTCATATGATGACAATAAAACATCCTAATAAATTTATACTGTATTTATTATGTTGAAAAATACTAATTATCTCGTGTACTTGTTTTGGTGTATTTTCAAGGTTAAGATTCCCTAGATTTTAATTTGCTTTATATTGCTTTCCTAGTATGCAAAAAGTGGCAGAATTTGTTGTGTCCTAGCACTGATCAAAGCACGTTTATTGTATCTCATGACGAAACTTACAATACATACAATTAAATAGTTTTAGACGTGTACTAAGTACATTTTGTTATCGAGATTTGTGTTTATTTTTAATTACGCACAAAGCTACACGGGGACTATCTGTGCTCTGCCCACCACGTGTATCGAAACCCGGTTTCTAGCGTTATAAGTCCGCAGACATACCGTTGGGCCATTGGGGGGGGGGGGCGAGATTTGTATATAAGCATGCTATCTAGGGTTAAGTATATACGCTTCGATCCTGATTCAATCTTCTTAGGAGTATTTACACCTACATATTTGACATTTCTTGTGTAGAGTTTGTGTGTTGTAAAATACATACTTGATATTTCTTACGTTTCTTAGAGTTTATACAATCAAAAAAAGTCAAGATATATTTTACATCTAGTCGAGTTCTGCGGTGTTCATTCCTAAGCTTCATCACTGCCGCCATCTGTGGACCTTTAAGGAAATTGCTATTTATTTATGTAGGCTTTCATGCTTTCAGATACATAACGAGAGCTGTAGAAGTTATAACAATGAAGACATCTTCAGCTAAGGTGTTCCTCAGGTTGTAGAAGTTGTAACATTGGAGAAATACCTTGTGGTCAGATGTCTTTGAGAAGGTTGTAGAGGCTGTAAAATTGAAGACTATTGAGGTCAGCAGCACGTGATAGAGCTGTTGAAGTTGTACCATTAATATGTTGGCATTTTGAGATACGGTTTCGGTTAGACATGATATATGTTTAATTTTCACCTTATTATACTTTTTTTTTTCTAACATTATCTTATTTTCGAAATATAAACTAACACTCATGTTATATCTAAAACAGTAAACACTTAAGATATTAGCATGTTCAACAGTAAACGAAACTCGTGTGAAAATACAGTTGTGCATAAATATGAAAATACATTTATACTTTATATATATTGTTGCGTC